TTTGTACATGTGTGCAGTAAGTGAGCATAAAGATAAAAGAATGAATATTAATAGTGAGACTTGCACATTATGTTGAGATATCCAACATGACAAGCCTGTGATGGGATCAGAGACCTGGAATAACACCCATATATGTCCATTATAATAGCCCTAATAGTTTAGAAAGATCCATGAAGGATTGATGTAATGACAGGCATATGCATGAAATGTGACAATAGACATATTTTTACAAAGTCACATTTATAGATGATTCAGGCAAAGATTTCATTAAAAATATGTAGGATAGATTGTAAACTACCTAAGGAGCCCATACTGCCTACTGCCTTGAGGGTAGGGGGTGGGTGGAAGGGATATAGTGAAAACATGAGTTGACTCAGCATTAAAGTCCTATTATTGCTTCACTGACCATTTTCGATGCTTTGGGTCTTTGAAGTTTCCCACACTCCATTTCTTATCTATTTCACTTCCTCAGTAATCAATTCTTGGTGGATTTGTCTGTAAATTTATGTCTATGATACTTAATATATTTTGAATGTACTCCAGGTTTCTGATGATGAAGATTCAATGTTTTGAAGGTATGGGCCCCTTATCAGGAGAAATGGCAAGTATGCACACTAGCTCACAAACTCCAGCCTATTGTGAGCTGATCTTGGTCATAAGAGGCAATAATATAAGCTATGCTCATTATATATTGAAAGGTTGGATCATGGATGCAAGGGCAAGATACTGAAAATTGTGAAAAATGTCAAAAGTGCAATGGTCTATGCTTACATGTAATAACACTGTCTGTAATATTCAATAATGTGAAAACAAGTAAATATGCACCAGTGGGGATAGATACAACTAGACAGGACATAGGAAGGATGAGTCCGATGCAAAAACATTGGGTCTGAAACTTTTGGGTTGGGGCTGGGCGTCAGGATCAGGATTGGAATGTCAGGCATGCATCAGACAAATACTGTGTAATATGAGTATCAAAAACACGGGTTTTGAGCCCAGTGCTGCAACTATCATTACACCAGGTACGGAGTACTGAGTAATGAAATAACCAATTGACAAGAAAAGACTACCAATACACTCACCTTGACTTGGACTACAACTTTCATTAAGGGAAGTTAAGCATAAAAATAACTTTCATTTTTCATTCTCGCCGATGTTTCAGATTTCTCTAGCTTATATCTTGGTCAAATGATAATTGATTAACACGAAAAGACTACCAAAACACTCACCTAGACTCAGACAACAACTTCCATTTTTTCATTATCTTTGCCTATATTGGCTAGCGAGTCCCGAGTCCGAAGTACTGACACTCAGTAGTCAATACAATCCCCAAGTTGTTTGAACCCTACATCAATGGATAATACATACAAATACAGAATTCATGTCCATTTGTAGCACCGGGTATTGTGTTTCAGCACTCGACACTCAGTGATTTGTGCCATACATGAAAAATGGACATGTTGCACACCAGGTTTCAGCATTTGACACTTAGTGTTTTATGTAATGAGTGAAAAATGGACATGTTGCACACTGGGTTTCGAGTTTCGGGTTTTGGCACTCAACACTCAGTGATTTGTGCAATGAGTAAAAAATGGAAATATTGCATACATATTATCAGGTTTTAGGCTTCATGTTTTGGGCTTTGGACATCGGGTTTTGGGCCTCAGACATTGCAGCTCAGGCCTCAGCACTCAGCACTTGGTGATTTGTGTACCGGATGTTGAGTTTCATGTTTCGGTACTCGACACTCAGTGATTTGTGCAGTGAGGGAAATATGGATATGTTATATACATATTTTCAGGTTTCAGGCTTCGGGTTTCAGGCTTCAGACATCAGGGTGCGGGCCTCGGCACTCGGCACTCGGCACTTGGTGATTTGTGTACCGGGTTTTTAGTTTCAGGTTTCAGTACTCAACACCCGGTGATTTGTGCAGTGAGGGAAATATGGATATGTTGTATATATATATATATATATATATATTCGGGTTTTGGGCCTCGGACATTGGGGTTCAGGCCTCAGCACTCAGCATTTGATGATTTGTTTAATGTAAATGAAAAACGGGCATGTTGCATACCGGGTTTTCAAGTTTTGGGTTTTGGCACTCAACACTTGGTGATTTGTGCAATGACTGAAAAATGGATATGTTATATACATGTTTCGGGTTTCAGACTTTGGGGTTCGGCCCTCAGCACTCGGTACTTGGTGATTTGTGTACTGGGTCTCGAGTTTCAGGTTTTGTCACTTGACACTTGGTGATTTGTGCAATGAATGAAAAATGGACATTTTGCATACATGTTTTTGGGTTCCGGGCTTCGGATTTTGGGACTCAGGCTTCGGGTCTATCAGCACTAGGCACTTGGTGATTTGATAAATGGACTTTCAAGCTTTAGGCTTTGGGTGTTCATGTGTTCATGTGTTTGGTGTAAGAAAATAGAAATTTTACACATTTTTGCGAGTTTCCAGTTTCCAGTCTCGAGCTTCGGGTGTTCGGGTGGGATGTTGCACAATGGGATTCGGTTTTTGGGCATCTGGGACTTGGTAATCCATGAATGTCAGACAGATATCTCACTACCTCGGCCCACCTGTCTATATAACATCCCCCTCCATTGGCCCACCCATCTATATAATGAATATTCCACCACTCCCTCGGCCCATCCATCTACAAAATGATTCCAGTATGTCAGCCCACCCGTCTATACAATAAACCCTTACATCGGCCCACCCATCTATATAATACATATTCCACCGCTCCCTCGGCCCACCCATGTACAAAATAATTCGTGTACATCGGCCCACCCATCTATACAATAAACCATTACATTGGCCCACCCGACATCTTCAAGAATATATATAATGTCAGCATGGATGGGCCCACCCACATCTTCGAGAATATATATAATATCAGCATGGATGGGCCCACCCGTCTCCATCGGAAATAATATCCCTCCTGGCCCATCCGTCAACATTGGGGATATACATAACATCGGCCCATAGTCCGCTGGCCCATCTTATACGGGATATTATGTAGGTCGGGTGACCTGTATAATATGGAAATATGTCACTGTAATATGTGTCATGAATGAGGTGGCGAAGATGATGCATTTCTTGTCAGTATCATAGATTTCACTATTGATATCAAGATAAGCAGATACTGCTAGGAGGTGTCATATCCCATATATCCACACTTCTCATCCGGACCTCAGACCCTAGATCCGATCTGATCCAATATACAGATCCTCTTCCGTTCCGAGATACGATAAGCTTCCTATTCATTTTCTGTTCATATAACATTAATCACAGCCTATCCCTTCATTTGGTATTCCTTGTTCCCGGTATCTCAGTTATCCTTACTTCTGGCTATGCTTTATGATCCGTTAACCTGTGCTAATTTCCGACTCATGTTTGACTTGTGATAAACTTTGCTTATACTTTGTGCATAGCCTCGGATAGTCTTCTAGTATATAAACCCTTGTATATGCCCTGTAATACCTCAGTTCGAATATCATCTTAGTTTGTTCTCTTTCTGTCCTCCGGACTTGAGCCTAGTTAAGCTCTTGTCGCATTCCAAGACTTAAGGATTGTATCCTATAAAGTCTACATCTCCGACTCTATCTTCGGATAGTCTATACTCTGTTGTTTTCTAGTCCGGACCTGTCCAGATTAGTCTTACGCATGCTTCCGTTATCCGGACGACCTTTGGATATCATTATGGTACTCGTCTGATCCTCTGGATGTGTTATATCTCCCTCTCTGAAATAAGGGGCAAAACTTGGGAAAGGGGCACAGTGTACGAGCTGAGGCTGAAGCCTTATCGGATCTGTTAATATGAGAGTATGACCTTAACAGGAGGAAACTCTTGGCAGTGTTCTCATTCCCATCATAAGTCGGTGGTGTTCCGATTTTGATTTCAGTGAGTTTTGATGTGGTAGACATTCTTCCGCTTGGTCTGGTTAAACTTCTGAATGCTGTGGCAAGGATATTCATGGATATGGGATCAATGATTGCTGAGTACTGTTGGGGAACAGGTACTGGGTGAGGAACTTAATCTTTTGTTACGACTGGGATAGTTCTTCTGTCAAAGGTCAAAGATAGACCAGTCTTGTTTGACAGCGTGTTCTGAACTCCTAGTACAAGGAGGGTTCAGGTTCAAGGGTTCCTATCAGACGAGCCCTATGGCTTCTATCTAGGTTCAGCGGCGAGTGGTTTTAGCACTTCTGCCTATCAAGGGTTCAGGCTAAGATAGTGAGTGACTGTCTTAGATATCAAGTATCAGACTATAAGGGTGGAGACCTTATAGAACAGGATTCAAGGGGAAAACCCAGTAGATTAAGTTAAAGAATACTACTGTTGTACATGGGGTTTATATAGGTAACAAGAGGCGGCACAGCCATGTCAAGGAAGGTAACAAGGATAGGGATATAGTACAACCTATCAAGATAGCAAAGATAGGTGAAACAATCATGCTGCGCATGATAGTAGTCAAGATACAATCAAGAAGAAAAGAAGTGCAGACAGCCTGCTTGATAAGAGAATGGCCAAGTCTGGATGAGTCTAGAGTTGGCGCTAAGGTTACAGAAAGAGAAAAATAAGTAAGGCTAAATGTTATTGTAACAAAAACCATCATTGGCCTTCATCAGCCCCATCTGATCACACACCTTCGACAACCGTCGACAATTACAATGGAACTTTGCTTCCACCATTCATAGTCCCATCTCAGAATCCCATCCATTTGAATGATTTGGCATCACTGCCATCAGCACTTGCCAATTATCGGCACAATTTTCCTCCTCCACTCCTATCTATGGACGGTGTTACTATGCTACCACCAGCAGCACCAAATTATATATGACCACAACCCCTCACAGCGCTGAAACATCCCCATTCCCAAACTCTAAAATGTGATGGTCCATGGCAATTTGTTGCATGCTCAGGTCAGTGACAAAAATCATTTGAAACCCCTTCAGTAAGTGCTCTTCCTTCATAAACTAACTTGTGCACTCATGATAGTGAAGCAGTCAGTGCCTTCTAGCACAACACCTTCTCATCTGACCCCCACTCAGCCTATGCAGCCGCAGATCGACCTTCCGCCTCTGGATTACCAATCTAATCTTCCAATACACGATGCCTTCATTCTCGCCACAGAGAAGGAACTTATCAGAGACACTGTCAACAATTGTACCATGATAAAGCCCTCATTAAGAGAGGGCTTTGTTCAAGCCACATTAGCAAATGCAGTACAAGACTGCTCAAAAAAGACTCGATCTGACCCGGCCGGGTTGACAAACAAAGAAATTGAAGGTAAATCAAATATCAGATTTGGAGAACTGATTGCTGTAAATTTAACAGAATTTGGTCAATGTTGGGCAGCAAAAAATGTGGGATTATTGTACATGGATCTCTCCATACCATTTAGACTTTTGATGGCAGCCTGTAAAGAGCTGGCATTTGGTGTTGTTGATTGAGGCTACGATCTTCGACCCTTGATTTGGTCGAACACATCGGAGTCAAAGTGGAAGCAAAAGAAAATCAAAAGCCTCATTGGCGACACAACCAGGCCTCTCAAATTTCTCTTCAAGAAGGATGAAGAGACTGGTGAATGGATGGTGTTCGAGCATGATGCACTTCTAGATGTGGTTCTTGGTGTAGTGAGGAAGCTCAAATATCGGCGCTACATCCATGATCTGGATAATCTTTATTGCTATGCTATATATTGCAGAGCTCTGGACCAACAATCCAATGGATAGGCTAGTCCTTGACTTCACAACCCCATTTCTATTGCCATCCCTACTAAGTATGGTATCTTCCCAAGGGCATGCTATAATGACAACAATTATACACCAATTACGGGAGCTTGCTCGGACTTTTGGGATAACTATCATGGTAAGGTTGTTACACGAATTCACAACTGCTTCTTATTTCATCTAGGTGATCAATGGAACATCAGCAGCTGCACCATTCAATCAGAGTTCCGCATCTGCATCAACGATCAGAAAACCTGTTTGGCCCGGGGCCTTCGTTTACATTTTGACAGATTGTACCCTCTGGTCATCAAAGACACAAGACATATCTGATCCCAAGTGTCTGTTCAAGGGCTATGGTAAGTTACTGAGTATTTTTACCTTCGTGTGATGTCTCAATTGAATTACAGAAATCAAAGATTTGGTGCACCTTCCAAATTCACCATAGTGTCTTATCCTTGACAATCCTTTTACAGGTCATTTTTTTGGCATAACGTACATATGCTATGCGTGTCCGCCGCTGGGTTGATACAGTTGCTTCCTGACAAACATAATTTATTTGAATAATAAAAGCAGATTACACTGTGTACTGTGAAAAAAGCTGTAGCACACAATGTTACACATGAAGTCTGGAATGATTTCAGACTACAAGCTGATATATATCCTGCTTTTAAGGATGAAACTTTGTATATCAGGAGTGCACGTGCTGCTTATGTAATATTATGATGGATGTAATGACTCAGGGTTGCTTCCACTGGCAGAGAATCCACTCCATATCCGCATAAAAGTTTTACTGTGCGGTATCTTTGCAAGTCTTGTAACTTGCACTTAAATTCCTGGATAGTGACAAGTGTCGGTTTTGCAGTGAGTGAAATGAGAGGGAATTTGAAAGAGCCCTAACCATAGTATGACTACATAAAGATGGACTCCAATGAGGGCAAGTGTTATGGTGCTCTGGCAGTATGTTCAATGCAACTTGCAGTTGACTTGATTTTGACTCACGCGAACCCAAGTCTATCGTGTTTGCTTCACCTTCATTTCTATTTCAACCAAGCTTATCTTTCATTGGCATCAAAAAGTCTAGGGATCAACGCTCCACAATACTGAAAGGTTTGTCGCTATGCCATTAGTTAATAGGGCTCACAACTGGCCGATTAAGATCACAGTATCACTCCCTTGGATTGGTGTAGCTGCTTGTTGATGATATCATGCGCAAGTCACCACCAACTAACCTGGCATAGTTGAGAGAATGTCCTCACAGACTCGGACTGGAGCCATACCATGACTATGTCCCAGAAATACTAGCACACCCTCCAAAAACCAATGATGAAGCCCGCAAGCATGCTAGTATCACTCATGGCAGACATCGAGTTGAAATATGCCATGCTTCAGCAGCAGTGCAAATCTTCCATGAGTTGTTGGAGCCGTATCAAGTAAGCTTTTTGCGACAGAAATATTTGAGCGCACAGGAATTGAGGAACTCGTAGGCTCCAAAGCATTCTCATGCAGATTCCTATGCTCACAAATCATTCACCATATTTTTTGGTCCCTACGGCATTTTAGCACCCTTTGCTATCACACTGATGCTAATGTTAATGCCCCAAATAGGGTAACTTTCAAGCAACATATATTATACTGACATTTTTGGCATCCTCCGAATTTGGTACTCACTTACAGGCCCTGGCCAGCATATAAGATGCAGGCTGGTTAGCTCTCAGAACCCTCATCTCGCACCCTCTCCTTTGAGTTGCCCATTCAACCATCTTTCCCATCTTTCCCTGTCTCTATGTCTGACAACGAGCACAGTGCGCCACCCGTCAATGAACCTCCTGCTTTGGAGGGCTCAGGCAGCGTCGAGGAGCGGCAGGCTGAGGCCAGCCACAATCAGGCAGTAATATCTGCACAGGCTCGACAAAAATGAAGAATTGTGCACCTGGAGGAGAAGCTATTGGCTCTTGAATCTTGGCACACCGCTAAAGAAAGGTATGACCCTCGTTAGCAGTTGAGTTTGGTTTCTCACTGTAGTATAGGCAGACTAACTATTACGTGGCTCAAGGAAGAGCAATTAGACATGTTGTTACTCTGTTTGATAGCCTTGAGGATCTAGTTGCCGAAAATGACCAGAGGTATGACGTTGAAGAGGATGCAGAAAATACCACTGAGTAAGTCCTTTCCTGGGTGTCTGAGCATTACTCACTGTTTTATGTAGTCAAAATCACTTACAGATAGGCTACATGACGTTCACAAATACCATGCAGTGGTTTTTTGAGAAGGCCATGGAGATGGAGTATGAAGAGTATGCACAAATGTTAAAAATGGTTAATTTTCATTATGTTAATTATTATCTTGCTTTTACTGAACTATTTTTCAGCTTCAGCAAGGGGCCAATGCTGCTCGAGGGGACGATACCTCCAAACTGAAGGTTCTCGTTTCTGAGTGGGTCAACTGTGAATTCAAGCCAGATCCTCTGGTCGATCCAGATGACAAACATTCGCATGGGTTTACTAATGATGCATGCGGTAGGTTACTTTGTCCTTCGGAACTTGATTGGAACAATCCAACGTAAGTGGTGCACTTAGAATATTGAGAAAAATCACTCACATATCACCAGTGTAAAGGCGGGCATTCGAGATCACGCAGATGGCTACATTGTAACTGACCTCTTCTTTCCAGCATTTGTTTATGAAAAATACACTGTGAAACCTGACGATCTGGAGGAGGGACTATTCAAGGGGAAAATCCTTATTCAGGTATGTGGCCTAGCAATAGTCCAGTATTGATCTCAGTTGTTTTCCAGGCATACAAAGCAGTATTTACGTCGCCTTCCTCAGCTAAAGACGTCAACGGTGATGGTGATGGGGTTAACATCATTCAAAATAACCAATGCGCTAGGAAATCCTTCAATGGACTTAAGGTCAAGAAACACATAGTGCAGATCATCAATATGGTGAAAGTTACCCCTCAGTCAATTGCATACATAGTTTGCCAAGTAATTTATACCATTGGTCATATTGCTGGTATCTAAGTATCTAATAATCAAGCTGACAGGTCCGGTTTGCGCTCTCTTCCATCACTTCCTGGCAGTCAGTTGATGGAGACTTTGACTATGTCCAATTTTGGCAGACTGTTGTCGACTTCTTTGAAAGGCCTCCTGGTTGAGAAGCTCAGCACTGGGTAGACAGGCTCCTGGAGTGGTGGACTAGGTGCATTTTTGACTGTCCCAGAAAGCCTTAATTGAACTTGCCATTTAGGAAGGTTTTTGGAAGGAGTCATCATGACGACCTCAGCCAAGCAGTGAAGGATAATATGTCTGTAAATGCCCTTGCAAGGCAAAGGGCAGCACGCGACAATGCTGCTTTTGACTCGCCCTAGAACTTAAACGTACTTGAGCTTTATATTCATAATTTTGACCTAATGTCATATGTTTAAAATTTGCTTTGTGCGATAAGGATATTACATCTGCAATGAATCTTTTTCAAGTGAATGATTTTAAACTACAACTTCTTGAGACTGGTGTGAATGGGCCATCACTAATGTATGAGGCCAAACAGTAAGTTCCCTGTCGGATGGAGGAGCTACCTCGCCAAGATTTCAAATACATACATATGGAATCACCCTTTAGAGCCCACAAATATGAAATCGCTGTGATGTATGATGCCGCATGCATTATCTGCCACTCATTAAAGGCTTGCAATTCAAGATGTGAATCATGAATTACTCTCCTTGTGTTCTATTCCCTGAGTCAATGGAACATATGGTGAGCTTTGTCTTGTCCGTATTTCCTAGTTTCATAATAATAAGCCATCACAAATGGATGTCGGCACCAAATGGTAAAATGGTCGTTGGGTGAACAAACTATATAGCTGAGATCTCAAAAGCACACATATGAAATCTCTCCCTTTGAAGCACATAAATATGGAATCGTGATATGCGTGACACCATGTGCATTATCTTCTGGTCATTGAATGCTTGCAGTTCGAGGTGCAAAAGATGGATCACTCCCCTTATGTTCCACATGCTGAGTCCATGAAGTAGAGGATGTGCTTTGTACTTCTCCGTGTTTTTTTAGTTTCGCAATAATGCACTGTCATACATCAATGTTGGTGCCGATTAGTAAGATAGTCATCAAAAGGACAAATTGTATAGCTGAGACTAGACATTCGAGGCGGAATATGACTTGACTGTTGCTCGCTCATTGACATGCTCCAGTAGCCGTGCCAATGTAGTGTTTCTTCCCATGGATTTTGAAGTGCATTCTATAATATGATCATTGCACACTTACATAAGGTTGAATGGCAACTTGAAGTCGAATATAGGTTGATTGTTGTTTGCTTGCTGAAAACCTGAACACATCTTTGCATGGATCCCCAACTGCAGTTTACAATACCACTATTAGATCATTGAAGAAAATACTGTCAAAATTTCAAGTAGCATACACTTTGATTGTCACTTGCTTTGGTGAGCACATAGTTGTTCTCTGGAAGATGTCAGCGCTTTGGGACCACCCTGGACATTGACCAGTAATTGATGAATATCCCCACATTTCAAACAAGTGGTATCAACGTAAAAGTAAAGTGAACATTTTTGTGATTTGCTCCATGAATGTACCTCGGCTACTGTACAAACTTGATGTTTCTTTACACAGATAGCCAACCACATCACACAAGATGATTCTTAGCATTAAACCCAAGGAACGACGGAATGAGAATACTCAATGTCCACGGTTCCACCAAACCAAAAGATATCCGAGTCACACATCGCGCATGGTGGTAGTGACCAAAAATACATTCAAATCAGCTTGTCAGCAACAGTACTGCAACTACAAGCCACAACATAATACAGCACGCGTGTATGATGATGTCCACCTGGCAATCGCAATATACACAGTTAAAAGTCCACCAGTCCATATTCCAGAACAAGAGAATAGTGATACTTTTTAGAATCCCAGCCCTTCTAAGCGGCGAAGCACATCGTCGTGTTCATAGAAGTCGTCATCCCCTGGAACCTGGGATCCTCGGTGGCAGGTTGCAGCATGTTTCCACCTAGAGCAGAAGTGAATCTATCATTCGCTATGCCTCGCATGTGTCCTACCAGAACAGTTCCTTGACCTAACGGCAATGATGAGAAATGTCACGAGATATCATACTGACTTCATACCTTCACCTCGCAATCTTTGATGCTTTCGACGGGGACCCACTTCTTGCATTTATGACACTTTCCTTCAAGAATCTCCGATCGCTCAAGTTTGAGCGTGTTGCGGCGACTACTTGTCCTGTATGACAGTGGAGGTGAGAATGGACGTCCGGTAGTTGCTGACACTCCTTTCAATGCGAGAAACAGATTAATGGGTGAAGAATCATTCAAATGTTCCTTACCATGCGCAAACTGCATATGATAGCTGAAAAAAAGTCAAATGGAATCATATAAGAAACTGAAATTCTCTGGAAAAAATGTTAGCATGATTGCGTAGGCTGTGAGGGAAAAGTAAGTGACCACTTAAACGCAGAGAATTTCGTTGATAACCATATTTTTTGTCCCCGTCCACCGCGCAAAGGGCTTTCGACACAGATCGGACATAGTCCTATCTTGGACCTACCTATACCTTTGACAAAGCGGGGAGTGTACAGATCTCGTGGATCTCGTGGAGGATTACAGATACCGCCAGGATGTTTCAAGAGATTGAAAAGAGAAGCCCTGCAAATGGTGAGCGCCAGGTAACAAGCAATAAATAACTTACTCCTCGGTATCAAGTTGCAGAAACGAGCTTATAGGATAACGCCGATAGAATAAAGGAAAATCGGGGTGACGAGAAACCTCCGAGGGAAGGCGACGCTGTGATGGTATGCCGAGATATTTAGGCTCCTGAATCTGAGAGGTAAGGTCGACAGCAGTGGGATCGCCGGAGGTACGTGCGCGTTTTGTCCGGCATGAAAGTCGTTTCTCATCGTGATCGGCCGGAAGAGGGTGCTTAGAACTCTGCACGAGAACCGCACGGCTAGCAGTACGAAGCGAGCGTCGAGAAGTAGAATATAGCCCATGGTTGTCTCTTGAATGTCGCGCAGTACTCGAGTTCTGTCCCAAAATGGGCGAGCATAGTGAAGAAGCGGAAGACAATCCACCAGAAACGTTATCGCTAAGGGGGCGCTCGGGAGACGGAAGGGGTGTGAGTGCAGAGAGACAGGAGACAGGAGACCAAGACCGCTCGCTGACATGCATGGCAGGACTCGAAGCAAAACCTGGAGAAAAGGTAGGATGACCGAAGGAATGTAACGAAGGAAGCTTCTCCATCAGCGACCATGTACTGGGAACACAGGATCCTCCAGAAGACTGATTGGATGGGTGTCCGCTTTCAGGTAGAAACGTAGTGATATTGTCGTCAGATATCCTTCTAGCTATAGGAGACATATCTGGATCGGAATTGTGCCATGATTGTGACAACTTAAAATGTCGATCGAATGGCGTTCCTTCGGCATTAAGCGTTGACGGTGACAGGCCGCAGCCAGGTAGAGGAGGGATCTTTGGAAGGGGACTCGGCGAAGAGGATAACTGTTGTTCTACCCAGGATTCAGTGTAAGGTGCAGCATACACACGAGACAGTTGCTGAAAGGCTGGCGAAGAAGCAGACATAGTATACCGGCGTGAAGGAGTAGATGGCATTGATATGGATCGAAGGAAATTTTCAGCTCGAGGCAATTGGAGAGAAATGTCTTGTCCTGAACTGGGAGCGATAGAACCCATGGTTGAGTGTCGCACTGACATGGATACCGGGGGAGCATCAGAGCATATAGTCATAGCGTGTGCGTATTTGTCGCGTTGGAATTGCAGTCGCGCTGGACTTGTAGTAGGATTACTCGAGGGAAATTCGAGGGAACCGTAGTAATGAGACCCATCGATTTCGCATAACATTTCTGAAAGATCCAAGTCAAATTCAAGTATGAGTATTTGTCGGTGAATTCATTTTGACCAAGCCACTGAATAGGCCAAATTATCGCAATAATAATGGTACACACCAGGTGGAAGGCTACAACAGCTTTATCAATATAGATGAGGAGGACAAAGCGATATAAGTATGTATGTTCAATGGAGGTCAAAAACAGGTCAAAGGATGCTGCCAATTTGTCTTCTAATACGTACGATACTCGGAGTTCGCGGAGTCCGTAATTCGATACCGGCACACCGGCAAGGGTCACTACCCTGCACGCGAGCGGCTGCAACTAATTCATGCTTTCCAACAATGATTCTCTTACTTCTTCTGTATAACTGTTTTCTCTTCCTATCACTTCTTCCTTCAGCAAGAAGCTCGGCGTTGACTACTGCCATTGCAGCAAATGAGCGTTTATGTTTCTATGTTGATGCAGACAAAGCAGGGGAAAAAATTGGGGTGAGCACGAATGGTTGTGTTTGTCGAGTTACACTGAACGTCCCACGTGAAGTTTTACTTTGCAGTGTGTTATGCGGTGTTGTGCCGGCTCATATACTCAATGTCCCACAAACTAGGTTCAATCTGGAGGATCGTTCGACATAGACTTCGACGTTAAGGATCCTAATGAGAAGGTCATACTTGACGGTAAAAGCGAAAGGCAAGGCGACTACGTCTTGACTGCCAACACCGTCGGAGAGTACTCGTTCTGTTTTGAGAATGATATGTCGACTCTCACGGTGAAGCTAGTTGACTTCGATATCATGGTGGAGAGCGAGCCTCGCAGGGAAGCGCCTGCCAAGCCAGGACAGGTGGCGGATCACACTAGTGCACTGGAGGAGAGCACATTTCGGTTGAACTCACTGCTTTTGAATATCAAACGTACTCAAAAATAGTATGTTCAACTATTGTCTCAAGTTATCATCATGCGTACTGACCTTCTTCTCAAAGTTTCCATACACGAGAGAACAGAGGGTTTTCCTTGGTGAGGTCGACACAAAAGTTGGTGGATATCCTCACGTTTATATGACTGGGTCACTCACAAGCAATATAGCCGCCTCTTCTGGTATATGGTTCTGGAGAGTATGGGCATTGTGGGCATGGCTGTGTAAGTGCAATTCAGGTGTAATTCAACCACAGCTGAATGATATTCAGCCTTCAGGTGTATATCCTCCAAACCTTTTTTACGAAAACAGGTCGTCGATACAAAGTATAGTTTCGTGTGCCGGCATCTGCGTTTATATATCTCCTATTTTCCTCCGCCATTCCACGTTGGCCCTCAAGCAGCATCACGTTTTGGTTGCCCTGACCTGGTAACTACGATTAATATGACCAGTGCGAGCGTTGGCATCTAATCGAATCCCACTGAGCTCTGATGCAAAGGGTGTAAGTAAGTACGTTCTTACGATCTGGATCGATGGATGCACGCAGTAAGGCATGCGCATCAGCTTCAGAACTGATTACCAGGATATGGTCCCGTTTTTGCCCGTACGCGTGGATCCCAAGATCCAAGCTCATGATAAGCTGCAACCTCTTGAATCCAGCTACGCCTCTCGTACTTAGGGCAAGCGGAGTCCGCTTGGGGGATTTAGTCACGTTTTACGACAATCCGAGTCACGGAATACGAAACTTGCAGTTACTCTGAGTAAGTCATTCAAAGCATACTGCTTACTTGTCTCGCAAGTCATCCATGAATATTAGCGTGAAATCCCAATTGAAATTGTTTGAACTCTTATGACCGAGTCTAAGTTCCTTGATTTCAAATCTGAGCAGAAAACCTTGTACTTATGAGACTAGTGGGCAAGCTGGCGGAAGTATACATCATTGTATCAACCTCTAGTGTCCCAACATCTCCTGGGCTTTCTCTAATCATCTGTATCGATCACCGTCACACAAGCTACGCACTCTTCGAGCCGATCTTCAGAGGCCCGTACAAAACAAGATCCTGAGCGATCCACGTCGCTCGATCCCTCTGAAAAGAATATCATTGTACGTGGTCCCACGTCAATTTGTGCCAGCCTCATGTTATTGCAATAACAGCTTGAGGTTCCTGTGTTCTTCCCAGGTCCCGCAGTACATCACAGACTACGATGAGTTCAGAGCCAAGGCGTCAGAAACATATATGTTGTTGCTGTGAATGAATAGTATAATGAGTACATATATGCATATCCTGGCGCGTATACTCAACCGCCTTTTTCGCAGAGCTTGGAAATAGATACACAGGGCCCAGGTAGGAATTTTTATCACAGGATCGTTTTTTTCCTCGCACTGTGATGTGGTTCAGGCGTCTGTTTCATTGCGGATGATAATGGGACTCCTCTTCTAGGCTCACCTAGTTCTTACTCAAGATACTTGGATTTTCTTCAGGGCTACGTCGTTCACTACTTGCCTGATCTAACCAATCTTGGTGCCCTTGTTCCAAACAAAGATCAAACATAGTACAGGCAGTCAGTGCCACAGTAGCTTAGCAGTGTTACTCATGAGTACAGCTTAATATATTTAGTCATTGGTAGATCGCAAGGCCAAAGCAAAATAACTGTCTGGATGCTGCGTGGACAGTACTTGGGATATCAACATCACAGTGCTTCCGGTTTATGCCTGTACGTCGATATCTAGTGCTGCTAGGCTCCAGCCTACCGCAGCGTAGTAAGGAATGACTACCGTCATCCGCATGGGTTTGTCGCAGCGCACTGCCCACCGGGCTGTGCTATGTACTCAGTACTTGCGATCTAAACCGAGTGTTGCGAAAGAAATGCCTGTTCTAAGAATTGTTCACCCGTGATACTGCCTTAATGATCTACTTACAGCTACTTACCCAATGAGAATCGTTCAATTATTGCCTACAATCGCCTCAGAGGGGCGGTGCAAGGCCACTTCTCTAGTCACCTGTGCTGAGCGCTACAACAGCATCGCTCCAGGCTGGCTTGTCTCGGTGATCAAGTATTTATCGCGTGACAATTACCGAGATACTTATGAAACTTCCCGGTCATCACGTTCCTGTTTCCTTTCCTTTCCTTACCAAAGTTCTAATTGGAAGACGCGGGCGTCTCTTGATTGGTACCCGGAGCTGGAGGCCCTCTCAGGCAGGTCCTTGGAGCTTGTTATCTCCTAAAAGTCATGGTTTTGTTGTTTCCTCAAGGCCTAGCGATATGTGTTTTCTTCTATGCACTCCTAGGCCTTGCGGAGCATAGCCGAAGTTTCTCCTGGGATTTAATGAATAACGTAAGTCGTGGTTGTTCTTTCTTGTATGTTAGTTTTTTATCCCTTCGATCAGAAATTTGAGCGAGTACACAGTCTGACCGTCTGTGATAGCCTGCACATTTCACTTTCTTCGTCGTCTGGAGGCTATAACGATATTGGACCTTCTCCACACACCCTTCTTGCCTTTGAAGCTGGTGGGGCGCTGACTACTACCCAAATCCACGAAGATGGTCTGTGGCAGGTGAACCACCCAGCAGGTTCGTGCAACGGGCCCTGTGTTGGAATAAATTACAGAGCAACGTTATACAGGGTCTCAACTGCTCCTCGCCCTTGTCGACTCCTTTGGAAACTCGGGAGGGGTGCTCCCCACAGTCTTCACGGTTGCATGTGAGCTCTTTTTCTTGCAAATGCCCACACAAACATACTAAGGCATCTTCGCAGCAGGATCCTCAGACTGTCTTCCCGCACTCCCCACATTTGCAGTTTCCCCAACGATTATAACGAATGTCACCCGTATCGAGCCTTGCGGCTCCTGGCAGATGTCCATCTCAGGCGGAATTCCACCATACACCATCACTCTCGCATCTCCCGGAGCCTCCTCTCTGCGGCACTTCGCTATGCCACAAGAGGCTACCCTGATTTCATTTATAAATAGCAGTATCACACTAAGAGGTCCTACTATAGGTGCGTCGGAATCCTCGGCAACCTGAGACTGTTGACTGAGGGTAAGCCTGTGTTTTGTTCCTGCTAAAGCTGCAGTGCGTGATTCGTGAGTGGTTTTCTCCACCTTTATTGGATGCTGCTAGAACACTTATATTAATCTTTGGCTCTTTCCATAGGTCTGGTCTATATGGACGTACGACCGAATTTGTAGAAGTCATCGATACTACTGGAGTATCTTGTCAGGCTGTGAATCGGGGCGGACAGTCCATTCTTGCCGCACGATCGAATGGCAGTGTAAAGATAAACCATCAAGATATGACCATCATTGCTGTGTGCGCATCAGTTGGTGGAACTGTGATCATCGCTGCTCTGTGCTTTGCTGTGATAACGTTCCGACGCAGGCGGCGAGGGTTGATTGCAGGTCAAGATGCGCGACCTCGGCCATTTGAGACCAACCCTCCACCAAACACTAATACATCTGTGCCGCGGGTAAATGTTTCGGTCCCTTTGTCCGTCATCGACATCTCCTGGCGGAATAATAATAATTGGATGACATCTCCAACGGAAGCATCTTCCACACACTCGCCCCTCGGTCCAAAACCCTCCCCTTCGCGCACTCATATACGCCCGTTGCCTGTCCCAACTGCTTCCCGTCAGCCATCTAATACGTCTTTGCGTTCTCCTGAAGATCCCCCTTCACGACCACCACGCAACCCATCTAGCTCGTATGTTGCTCAATCTCCACAAGCTGGGCCCTCGCGAATCTTCCAGCAGCAGCAGCAGCAGCCAATCTCTTCCATGCGCTCTGCTAATAACAGTCACCCCCCTACAACTTCACCGCTTTCACTGCAGCGCTCTGCACTTGCACAAGAAGCCAAACGATCCACTCCTCGCTCTCGCACAGAGAGGCACAAACGCACACTCCATCTTTCACGTTCGACAGGGGACATTCCTCGTGACAATATAGCATCCCCTTCCCACCAACAGCACGCAACCGTACCCCGCTCGACATCGAACTACCTGCGACATTACTACTCTGCATCGAATGTCACGCCTACAGATCGTAGAGTGCTTGATCCAATTTATCAAAACCGTGATAGAGGGGATCCACCACCGCCATACTATAAGCACTAACCACTTGTAGCATATGTACGAGCATAACAATAGAAATACTTTGATTTCATCATTGGTAATGGGCGTTGACCACGTCGTGTGTCCGCACGTAAGTCCGCAACTCTGTTGACTTCCCTTTTAGAACCCTCGGCCAACAGTCATTGACACGTACAGGATATACTTTATCTCACTGAAGAACATCTCCCGCCCCAGTCTAATGGCTAAACAACACAAAAACAAGGAGCCATTAAAGCACATTGCCCGGGTCTGAGTCCGAATCACCCTTATTTAGCCCGTCACTCGTCCCAGATCAACCACGTAATCCGTATGAACACTTGACAGTAATACTATTGATACAGAGGTGTTCAACAATGGTGGAGTTTTCACTAACGATGCCCCATAGGCTATCATAAAGTCCATATTTCCTGTCGCCCTCCTTCCGTATTCGCTCATATTCAGACGCGAGCTCGCCCTGCCGCCTTTTCTTATCCTCAGAAGCGAATTGCAATGATTTATCTTTGGACATGAAGTAGGTCATATTATGCAATGCGCGTGCATACCGGTCGCTTCAAGGATGGCAGGCAACGTGACAGGACCGTTGAAAAACCTTCAAATATTCAGTTTCTGCGACAAAGGAGAGGCAACAGCGCAACCTCAGTTGGCGCTGCAGGACTTTACACGTCGCATATATTTAGAAGGATAGTGGATTAGACTTAGGAATAGACGGATACAAGCTACTGTGTCTGGGCCCCGTAACCCCTGATGTTCTCTGCGAATGACCATGCAGTCTCGAGTTGCATCGAATCACTGATGGATACGCCTGTGCTAGAAATTGCAGCAATTTGGAACTGAAGGAGAGGACAGTTAATTAGGTGAGAACGATGGTTGCTGTGAATATGTACCTTATTCAAACTTCGGGCATCTCTGTAGAATAGCACGCGCAGGCTATCCTCTAGGATCTTTCGTGCTTCTTCTTCAGTAATGACGTCCTCCCTCCCTTCGACGGCCTTACGCAACAGTGGTTGGGCAATGAAAGCGCCGTACCCAGTAGCAAGTGTCGAGGCAGAATATGTCGTACCCAACAGGTCAACGTACGATAAAAACCTTGGAATGATAATTGAATCCTGCTTGAAAAAAGACGTAGCACATCCTACCTCTTGCCGTCCTTAAAACCACCAATAAGCAGAGAATTCCAGAGCGGATCCATCTTGGACCGACGCGCGTACATGAGTTGCGACATGTACTCATGGATCTCCACAGGACCGAGTTCGTGTCCATCTTGTGCTGATATCTCATCGATGGATAGTTCCTCAAGGATATACTGGATGTACTGGAAGTCCGACATATCGCCTCCCGCACCGATGACAGTATAATTACCGACTTGGTGTAAACGCTGCACATCCTTGAATCGAGCGAGGGACCCGTATGATGCTGTTTAAAAACACATGAACTGATGAATGGGATGATTTCGAAGTGGATTTACCGAGGTTGTCAGCAGCCATCATGACACCATCCTTGTATTTGATCGCTAGCACGCTCGTTCCAGTTACAATTGGCTGTCTACATATCAAGTTGAGTTTCATTGATAGAAAGGAAGAGCAATAATCGAACAGACTTACTGCGTTCGCTGTACGCCATCAGCGAAAGAATCCTTTGGACCATTATATGGTCGCTGGTGAATGGGGTACGTGGCATATGCATCAAATGCGTCGTTTCTCTGTGAAATCCGAATTCAGTGCTATACTCTAGCTCCAGTCCACGCTACTTACTGGACGACCCCAGTTAGTTGGAAAGTGGTCCATGGTGGGTTAGTAGAACAGGTTAATCGACGCGCAAGCCAGACGCGACACCATTATGTCAGCAGGTCAGACTCCATCTATAGGTTGAAGGCTATAACGACACATGCACGTCTGATAGTTGTCCACCGTACGCAGCACGTCTTACATGATACACACGTCTGATAGCAACCAACACACACTAGGGCAAAAAATCATTACTTTGGCCCAACAAAGTTCATGTTGCTGCTGGGTATAGGTAACATGAAACACGATAATTTGTCGATGATTTGTCTTTTCAGGATGAAGAAGTGGAGAGATTCCACAGATGGCGAACGTATTTGGCCAACTGATGAACTTCGAACTCATATTCCGTACTGTTCACGACATGTACATTTACGAACGCTGGATTACTATGTGCGTAGGATGTCTTAGCATCTGTTGACGGTATTAATTGTGATCCGGATTACTTAATGCTGTCGATGATAGGCTTCTCCGCTACCGTGACTTAGTACTAGCACCAAGCTTAAAACTTAACTTATTGGTTCAGGTTGCTCAAGTATAATTGCGCTGTTTGCATGTCGACTTTTGCAGCACTCTCCTAAAGGGCCCATCGTTGTCGGCGGTCGTGCGACAGTGTGGTCAAGGTGCGTCATGTTACGCTGATACTTCTTTGTTCGATTCGATATTTCGACAACCTTCGAATTGCTAGAATCCTGTGTTTTACGTCTCAGCTCTGAGACATCACGTACTTATTCACTGGTGTGAGCCTTTGACCAAGCCAGCCATCGTCCATATGATGCAAAATCCGGCCCTGGCCTTCGCCTCACAGCACCTCGATGGGTGGTTTGCACGAAAGTTAAGGCTCAAGTCACGCCCATCTGACGCTGAACCACCGTCTCCCAATATATAACCGATTGGTCAAGCAAGTTACGGATATACGTGATTTGGAAGCCGCGCTGGTCACAGTTCTTGTTTTCTATAGGATTGTGTCACCAACAACCACCGTACCGAATTTGTGCGAACATATAAAACCTCTCTACCTTAGGTACACACCTCAGTCGAACTTCGTTCGTCTTTCTTACTACCCCATATCACGACCCACCCACACTCGTTTATCATGTTCAACAAGTCCACTCTTTTGATCATCATCAGTGCTGCTTTTGCAGTTGCTGTTCCCACCGGGTCCATTCCTAAGGGTCCTAGTACGCTAGACAGTGTCCACGTTCTTGGCGCCAGCGCCAGCATCCCCGGAATCTCGGACGTCAAAACATCATCCACAAAATACGTCGGCATCGCTGATGTAGAGAAGGAGAAGGCACCCACAGTTCCTAAGGATACTCTCAGCGTTCCTGCTGTCAGTCTCCCTCAGGATGAGTCTCTTGTCACAGATGAGCTCCCAAAGGTTGATCTCTCCACTGTCGAATTACCCTCGCCACCGAGTCAGGGCAACGACAAGTCGGAGCAGACACCCGATGCCTCCACACTCAAGCCCCCCAGTGGTTCAGCGTCCATTGCCTGGTACGCTCGGACTCTACCCAACAACACAACGCCCAAAAACTCCGATACATCTCGCATGCAATCTGCAGTCAAAGACGTTGGCAAGGTAGTCGTGATTAAAGGTAATTTGCCGCGGGAACGTCACATTCCAGGCGTTCATATGCGTTCCTTACCCTACACACCCGAGCTCACCCAGTCTTCACCTCCCAAAGAATCGAATTCGTTTGCAACCAATGCTGCCAAAGCCTCGTCTCCCAACGAGCCACCATCTCTGTCGCGTCGTGCTGAGTCATGTGACTCTGGCTACACCTTGACCTACTGCAAGGAGGTCTTGGAGTCAGACAACAGCCTCATTCCGAAGCTGCTCCAGTCCGTAAACGTGGACACCTCTGTTACTGGCCCAGTGGGCTTGTCCTGCTCAGATACGAAGACGGCTGACTAGTGAGTTTCTTATTTTACTCCTTTTATGGTCAGTTAATGTTGCTCGTTAGCGTCTACCCCCTTTGCAGCAAGATGATGGACGTGCAAGGTCTGGCGCTCGACTGTATAGAGGCCATTGCCAGTGTCCTTGCCTAAGCCGCACATGTATACTTTATGTCCTTCGATTTGAACTTGAAGTCAATCCAACTGGAACTGTTCGGATGTTTCTTCCTGGTTGTTATTGTTTAAACTGATTTACTACGCCGATTTTGTTATATACCCATACTTGTGTTTGTTCGATACATACAGTAATAGTACATATTTTTGAAATCATCACAACCGGCCCTAAACCAACCAATGGTAGTAAATTTGGCACTCGCACTCTTGACTTTTTCAACTCATTCCGGACTCGCACTATTGTCCCCCTGCGATGCGACCTTAAAGGTTCTGGTTGCAGGAGTCTACCGCAAGTCCCAGACTATCGAGCGGCTCAGCTGGAGTGCACCTTTGTACGTGGTACGGTCGCGAGACCTTGAGGATGCTTTCCTTACCAGAGCTGCTACACTTGCTTTGATACTCACAATCCCGGTATATCATGGATCCACTGGTGTGTGTAGCGGGTATTTACGATCAAATTGTATGTTAGCGACTGCGCTCCCTATGTTTTTCGAACTGTCGATCTGCAGTGTTTGATGCAACAATGATTGATTGATCGTATCAATGTTGTCTTCGAGAAAGACTAGGTGGCGCAGTGCCTTTTGCTCCAGCCCCACCTCGTAGTCGTCCTCACGTTAAGTGACTTAAGTCTTAACTACTCCCGCCACACGCAGATCAGCGCAGACAGTCCCAAAGTTTCATAAATTACCAATCACAACACTGACTAGAACTTGAAAATTTGCTCTGCCAATACAAAACAGATCCCACCCTACAGCTCACAGCGATGCCCAGGTTCGGACTCTAGCTTCGGAAAAAGCGCCCAATAATTCAAGCTTTCCCTTCACTCAGCGTTTCCGCTTAGCTCCAGTACTATTTCTAGTCCAAAAGACTTTCGCTTTGTCAACGCTCATAACCTCTTCCTCGAATGTAACTTCGCTCGATTTCGCCACCAAGCAGTATTCCTAGGATGATAAAAAACATACACTAACAATCACGACAACACGCAAACTCAGAAAAAGGATAGACGATACATATCGTACACCACTCAACATGGAGACCCAGAGAAAGGAAGGGTAGAAATAGAGCATGAATCAAACTGATGGCCACATCGAGTCTCGACGCACTACTAGTAGCAAAACTTGAAACACAACACACCAAAGATGAGAGCCACCAATGCCATTCTCTGTTGTCCATTCATTATTTCCTCGTTCATCGGACCGTCTCCTGCCCGACCTGTGAACCAGTCAAACCTGTGCCCAATGAGCATAACCTCTCCTCGCTCAAGTAGGCCTATCAATCTCCCACCCTCGCTCGCCATCCTGATCAGCGCACTTTCAGCGACTGCGACAGCCCATCCTAGCCCTCTCAGCGAAGACCTGAGGGCTTTTGTGCGATTCGCATCTCTCCACAAATGACGGTACATATCATGTACTATGTTTGCAATGATCGTCGCCATCGCGAGACTCATTGAAACAATGAACACGATAGAGCACCTTGTGAAGAGGTATATAAACGCGCCTAGGACTGCTGATGCTGTGCTAATCAGGAATAGCTCTGCGCTGTTGGGAGTGTGATCTAGATAAGTCAAATTTGGGTAGAGCTTTATGAGCCCCCCATCGCCTTTGGACCACATGTAAAAACGCCGGTATGATCTTTGACCATCGTTCCACCAAGGGTGAGTTGCGATGACATGAGGGGCAGGATGGAATCCTTCACCCCCGTGAGTGATAGAAAAGTCGCGCTTTCTCCGACAGAAATCGATATCTTCTCCTCCGCCTGTTTTTGGGAACTGCAAGTCAAATTCCACACCATCCTGAACACGGCGGGCGATGAGATTGGCTGTGACACCCCAGGGCATGTCACTCTCGTTCTCTGACATTTTCGCAGCGATGTCCCAAAAGTAAGTCACGCCAGCAAGATGAACAGCATTGGTGAAGACAGTGCTGGCAACCGGGAAATAACTGTTTCCAATGAAACCAGCAGCCTGTGGATTCGAACGGATGGCTTTCTCAGCCTTAATCAGAATATCATCTTGGGGTATGACATCGTCATCAAGAAATAGAATCCAATCTGCGGCAGATTCCTTCATGCCTCTGTTTCGTGAAGCTGAGGCGCCAAGGTTATTTTCATTGACACGGATGCGGATGTCTGGGCGATGGGCGTATTTTGCTTCTAGCTCGGTTATTTTAGGGGAGTGCGGGTTATCGATGATGATGATGAACATAGATTCACATGTTGGAGACTCCTTGAGGGCAAGGATGGTATCGAGGAAAGGGAGCAGAACCCGGTAGCTTGGAATGATAATGTCCAAGGTCATCTTGCGAGTAGCAGCTGGGAAAGATGTTGCCAACGATGCCTCCAGTGTTGAAGCTGCCTCAGTCAACGAACCGAATGTCCATCCATCTGCATGTTGCTGAATGTAGCGTGCAGGTAGGCTTCCGCCAATGCCATTGGAAAGTCTTGATGGTATCATTCGAGAGCAGCCCCATTTACGGTACAGCTGGAAGAGGAACGGGTCTCCATCTTGATTAATAAAAACCTCGGGTATTACTTGGCCGCCAAAGGCATTCATATGAATGCGATGGATAACAGGGAACGTGGGCATTCTGGGAAAAGTCACGTTTGTGAAGGCGACGCATCCCATACCTTGAGGGACACGTTCGTGCTGTGCAATCAGCGTGAACTGCTCATAGATGTCTCTCATCCAGCCTTCGTCGAGGAGAACTACATCATCACCCATTAGAACGAAATAGTCTGCCTTTTCCTTCCAAGCACGGTGTGCACACTGGCGCCAAATGGCGCAGACATGACCATGGGGTACATCGCAGATCTCGGTAGAGACATCCATGATTCCTTCCTCGGCTAAGAGTGATTCGATGTTTAATATTCCACTGTTTCCCTCGCGACGCACATCAGTGAACTGAGGGAAACATGAGAAAGATATATATTGCCTTATATAGGGAATAATCACGAGCATCGGCATAATTCTGCTATGGGTTATCACATGGTCATGTATGAGTTTATGGAGGAAAGACGATTTCCTAATCGACGTACACAGGTTTGCGAACTACCAAAAACTCGTAGACTTGTGTAACTCGAAATCAAGTGGCAGACACGGCGAATGCTAATGGTCTGTCTCGACGATTCATGGCCGCCACATCGAGACCAATATCCTCAATTCGGAAGGCAAGTCTAAAAATAAGTGTCTTGCAAGCACGACAATCTGTGCACTGATCGCACAAGAACCAATTCGATTTGTTCAATCGAGATGTAGTTATAGGCAGGTCGAAAGTTAATGATTTACCTCAACAATTCATAGTCGCAACATTGGGACCAAGGTCCACAATTTGAAAGGTAAGTGCAGAAAATCAGTGTCCTGCAGATACTGATAATGTATGTGCTGAGCGCACAAGAATAGGTTTATATATTTATTCAGATCCTTCGACCACCCCTTTTGAATGTATACTTTCGCCCTGTTAGGTGTTCGTGGCTACTTCATGCAGAATTACTTTAGTTTCTCCATGGAAGGGACAATTTACGTACCATTCGGGGGACGGTCGGTGTTACGACTGGGATAGTTCTTCTGTCAAAGGTCAAAGATAGACCAGTCGAGTTGACAGTTTGTCGGCCTTCCTAGTACAAGGAAGGTTTCTGGTTCAAGGGGTTCCTTCTACACGAGCGCGGTGGCTTCTATGTAGGATCAGCAGCGAGTGGTTTTAGCACTTCTGCCTAGGCGGTGAGTGGTTTTAGCACTTCTACCGCAATTGAGGGTTCAGGCTAAGACAGTGAGTGACTGTCTTAGAATCAGGTATCAGGCTACAAGGGTGGAGACCTTGTAGATCAGGTTTCAAGGGGAAAACCCAGTAGATTAAGTTAAAGAATACAGCTATGGTACATGGGGTTTATATAGGTAAAAGGAAGTGGTGCAGCCGCGACAAGAATGGTAACAAAGATAGGTGAAACCGCCATGCGGCGCAAGATAGTATCTATGTTACAATCAGAAGGAAAAGAAGTACGGACAGCCCGTTTGATAAGAGAATAGCTGGGTCTAGAAGGGTCTAGAGTCGGTGGCATGGTTACAAGAAAGGAAAAATAAAATAGGAGTAAATGTTATTGTAACAGTCGGTCATATGCTGCTTTGAATCTTTCCACAATTTGTTCTGCAAGTACAATATTGGTCAGTCGGGTATTATTGAATCATCTGTACAAAATTGCTTTGCATGTGCAATGACGCTGCATTATCATGACACAGTGCTAACTTGACAGAGACTTGCCAATGGTGGAGCATAGATACCTTAGCACCAGTTTTACCGGTTGAGCTAATTCATTTTGTCTGAGTCTGAGTCTGTAATATTGGGTTTTTTCGTCCCCTGCTTTAGTGATTTTTGACGCAGGTATAGACAATGTGCATACACTTAATATTTCATGTGCGATGAGCGGGGTGGTGATGTTGGCTAGTTCTACCATTGTTGTGATACCACACTCGTCTACTTAATTTGTTCACCTTACATGGCATTAGTAATATTGCCGGCTTTTGCGCTCTGCTTCAATAATTGTGTATATTCACATTTGGAAGCCTCAATCATTATCTTCATTAACAGAACAACTATGCGATCACTGAGCAATACTAAGCAATCATACTAAACCTCCCATTGTGTAACAAATAAATCTGGAAAGCTTGCAGACAAAGACTGTACCCGGGTTACCCATCTCTCATGGGCATTGCTCTAATTTTGGTATGTTTGACACTTCTTGTTACTTCTCAGTGTATACATTTTGTCCCGTGATTTTGTCTCCTTGCATGCATGTATTTCAGGTCTGAACATGTCCATAAAATCAAGAACAACAATGATATTACCACGATACGTCCTGTCTGGGACTCTTCTCGTTTGTACTTCAAATTGGTCTGTATTGGAAATGATGAGTAGGCAATACCAATATCGCTGCTTTCATGCTTATATTTCCCTGATTCAGTTTATTGAAATACAAGTACAAGGTTCTGATTTTATCTATATTATTCGTAACATGTCCATGAGGGAATAAGATTGCAACTATACAAGCACAAATAGGATATCTCTCAGATCTCAGACATCTCATACATATTTACAACTGGCTTCGAAGCTTCACACTGAACAAGAATTTTAAATCATGGCATTAGAAACGGCAGGTTGTGCTAGTGTAATTAATGAGATAAACCAATTTCAGAGCCAACAATAGGTAAGGTGAGATAGTCCTAGAATCTACACTTGGGTGAGAAATCAGATAAACTATTCGGAATCAAAAAGAGCATCATCCATTTGTGCTCTCTGCCTTGCGAGAGCATTCACAGACATCTTGGCCTTCGCTCCCTCAGTGAGTTCTGCGTGGCGACTTGTTCCGAAGATTTTCCTAAGTAGTGAAGGTCAGTCGAAGCTCGTCGAGGGCGTACTGAACAAAGCACCTTGTCCACCACGCTAGGAGTCGGTCAACTTTCTGCTGTGCGAGTCGACCAGGGGGCCAGTTCAAAGAAATCTACAATGGTTTGCCAAAATGGTATATAGTCGAAGTTGCCATTGATCGATTGCCACGAGGTCACAGAAGATATAGCGAATCGCAACTTGTTACATTGTATTGTTAATGCTAGGCAAAGAATAGAAAAAAAAAGAAGCACCTGACATGAAACGTAAGCAATCAAGCAGGGTGTGACTTTATGCATCTTGATTATCTGCGCTACATGTGTCTTGACTTTCCTGTCAAGGTTCTTTGCACATCGGCAGTTTTCGGTGACATTAGCACCATCGCCGTCACCGGTAACCTCCTTTGCGGAAGAGGGAGACATGAATATAGCCTTGAATGCCTACTTAGTAAAGTGAGATCTTTGTTGGACTAGGAGTCATGTATGAAAAAAACCTGAATCAAAAGACTGCTCTTGAAGAGGCCCTCCTCTAGATTGTCCTGATCAGCCGTGTATTTTTCATACAAAAAAGCTGGCCAGGACATTTTGGTCACGACATAGCCATCTGCACGATCCCTTATCCCTGCTTTGACTCTAATAGATGGTTAGTTGTTGCGCGAGATGCAGAGTGAGATAGTTACCTTGGATTGTTCCAGTCCAGCTCGGTTGGGCAGAGTAGCCTGCCGCACGCATCGTTGATAAAACCACGACAGTTTTTGTCATCGGGGTCGATGGGGGGAGTGGGTTTGAATTCGCGGTTGAGCCAGCCAGCAACGAGACTCTTAAGTTTTGATGTGTCATCACCTTGAGCAGCATCGGCCCCCTGTCTGAGCTAGACAACAATTTAGCAAAGGTAAATGATTACTACTGGCAAACACACCTTCTTCAGCATTTCAGAGTATTCATCGTACTCCACCTCTGAGGCCCTACTATGAAACCACAGGAGGGCCTGGTTGAGGGTGATGTATCCAACTTGCAAACGTTCCTGGCTGATGATGAACAGTCACTAGCAATCATGAGTATGGGTGAAGAACTTACTCAATAGTCAAATTTTCGTCCAACTCGTTGCTATCACACCTTCGATCATTCTCCACTATCAGATCTTTGATGCTGTCGAATAGTGAAACTATATGCCTGATGGCTCTTCCTTTCGATACATAGTAGTTTATCTCCCTGACAGTCATAGTTAGTGAACTGATTTATATGTCAATGGTGCCCATACCTTTGTTTGGCCTCACGCCCTGACTCCAGCGACTGTAGCTTTTCTTCTAGCGAAGCAATTCTCTGCTTCTGTCGAGCACTTTCGGATGTCGGCACTGCTAGTGACTGTGCCAATTCGGAAGTATGGGGGGTGTTCTCCACTTCCTGTGACATGACCTTTCACAGCAAGAACGGAAAGAAAGAGGAATTGAGCCTACTTGGAACAAGGGATGAGAAGAGGGATAGGACTGACAAGCTCCTGCTTTATATGACAGTTGGCTGGTGTCGGCAAAGGAGGTACCTAAAAAAATGTGCTGAAAATGGTTGGACATGTTAAAGGAACTGCCAGAATAAGTTGTGATGTCATTATCGTAACAGGTGCTACATACTCATTAATTCAGGGTAAGCTCAACATTTTGAAACGAACACTTTTGTGTGACCTTGAATTTGGAATAATGCAAGGACACTCCTCGCTTCCAAGTTTAATGTTGGGAATGACTAAGTTTCGGCGGGACGGACTTACAATGTCATGGTGTTGTAGGCCTGTCACTTGCACAGTGTGGTGTTCGCCAAACTCTGCCTCTTGAAACTCAGCTCTGAAGAGTGCATATAATGGCCAGGGATATTTGAAGTGTGCGCAGCAGTGCACTTTGAGCTAAAGTCTGAATCGAGGGTGCTGACGCTCTCTGTCGGTGCAATCTTGATCTCAAATACATGGCGAGGATCATCGCCCAAGACGATACAGTTAGTAAGTTTGAGGTGGAGCGGTCCAGAAGACACTAAGTTAGACCGCGATCACTAAGGAGGAAAGGGTGGCAATATCAAAAGACAACTCACCAGCAGGCGGGCGTTAGATAATAATATGCAGACACTTTCGCTGACTCGAGGGGCATCAGGAAAAATCTCGACCATTTCATCCACAGGTGATAGGGATTTCGTTGGGTCAAGTGTACTAAGACTGAAGATTGTGCTTGATCGTCTCGTCGACAGCCAGGTAAACCTTCCACAGTATCAGGTCATCAACATCCAATCATAGGCATCAGATCACTCACCTTCCATAGCTTGAGAGTTTTAGCATCAACACCATCAAATTCATGCTTATTCTGTTCTTTGATAATATTCTGGAGGGCGCTAACACTCTCTGTCAGTGCAATCTTGATCTCAAATATACTACCAGGATCATCATTGCCCAAGACAATGCAATTGAGTTTGTACATCTGACATTGAGAACAATGGTAGTAATAGTGTCTCGTCGAAGCGGTGACTGGAGTGAGTAACAATTTTGAATTTCATATTTGGCTCACATAAGCTTCCTAAGGTAGTGACTAGGTTCCTCGATGGCTTAACTACAAAATCGTCCCGAATCCAGTCCAACTTGTGTCCGAAATTAAGCAAAGCTTGCAAACTCGCTGGCAACAGGTACACATAAGTGTCCAAAGACTTATATGCTACTATATGATACAGCAGGAGCGGCATTCAGAGACCTCAGAGCCAAGCAACCACACCATGTGACCGGCAGCTTTGGCATGGCAAGGGGTAAAATGGTCCCTTGCCATGACCAATTTTCCCTGCAGTGTCACACGCATGTCGCTGCTCCAGCCTTTTGTTCAGGATTGACTTGCCTTAACTGTTCAACTGTTGGAACTGATATCATACAGAGTGTGTGCTGTGATAGGTATATTCTGGACGAGTCATATTCTATTCTCACATTTCGCATGTTTTTCAGCTGTCTGTTCACTGATTGAGGTGACCGATCCCTGATCACATCACCTGTCAAAGTTTCAGGTGACAAAGTATCGCCCAATATGGGCAACATTATTAAATCTCATCCACACTAGCATGGATTCGATGACTACCGGAAGAATCGATCACATCTTTCGTCCATGTATAGCATCCTACATATATATATGGAGCGCACACTGTTCGAGACCTTTGAAACTCAGCCAGGTGACCTCGCTTTTACTCTACTGCAGGGCTCACCATCGCATAACATAGGCATGTTCCACCTTACTCCTCCTCCAAGCTCTGCCAGTGGGTGTAGTCCTGCCTATGAGTACAGGGCTACCACACGTAGTCGCAGTGTTACTACAAAGAAATTCCAGCGGGATATCACTCCAACAAATACTCGTCGGGCCCGAGCATTCAAAAGAACTAGGCGCCATCGGTCATCATCATGTGACACCGCCTATGATTTGTCAGATGACATACATGCACCTGCATCCCTTCCCCCCATAGTCCATCATCTATCACTCTATGTGAACTGTGTGAGAAGAAAATTCAAGCCCTACAATAGGGATGCTCCCACTATGTGGGCCCTCCAATTCGCTGAAGGTTACCTTACCCCAGGGAACACCAATACGAGTCCCACAGATATTCAGAGGGTATGTTATCACATATGTATCCTGACGTTGCTTATTGAGGGCAAGCATGTTAGGGCAAGCATCAATTATGTTGTGGCTTGAGACACCTGTCCCATGAGGCTATGGCTCAAGCCGTCCTCACGAAGGAAGCTGATGTTGAGTCGAGACGCCTGAGTGCCATGGCAACGGCTTGGCAAATCGAGGCATCTGAGCGACACACAAAGTTCCTTCACATGTTTCTTGAGTGTGATGCTGATACATATGCTAGCGCCGCTTCAGAGCGTCTCGACTCATCAGTTCAAGCTCTCGTTAACTGCAGTAAGGAGGAGCTTCAAAACCACATGGACTTTGGTGCCGTCGCATATAAACATGACGTGATGTCTTTCGCTGTTGTGAACGAACAGCTCACTGACATGGAGGGTTATGCTGTTGAGCATTATCAGTCCAAAGATGTTCATGCAGGAGGTGGCAAGCAAGCGCTTCCCATCGACTCTGGTGATATTTCAGATGAAGGGGGTCCAGAGTCTGTGCATGAATCCACAGAGAACTCTGAGTCGGACAGCTGATGTGATTACTGAATTGACCTTCCATTATGCTCGTACTGATATTGTGTAATAGACGCTACCTGAGCAGAAGAGCTGTACTTCTAAGTCCGAATCATTATTTGTTGATAAGACCTTTTCTTTGTAGAAACACTGCCATTACAGATATAATTGTATTTTCTTGGTCCCTATTTTGAAATGACTCAAAGTGTTTTCGCCAAGTGACTCACAAGCGCTCCGCTTGATGTAGTATAAGTAACTGCATGAAACTTGAAAAAATTAAATTAAATATTGCGACGAAGTCTTGCCAATCACACATAATAATACTTCTCATTTAGCAAGTGCGTGCCACAGAAGCGCAGGGCCTAGAATTCCAAGCTAACTTCATTTTGATCAGACCAGATTTCTTTTTACAACTTCTATTTACTTGTGGAGCTGGACAAACAAATGGGTCCCCCTTACTAAACTACTTTGATATCGGATCTGATTTTGTCTAGCCTAGGCCAGAGCTTCCAGCAGATTGTCACGAGGTGGACCACATTCATAACGTAAGGATCTGTTAGCTAAGGCAGGAGGAACACCAGGCGGCGGGATGGCAGCAGCTTTAGACCTGCGAAAGTTCTGCATCAGGGGGATATCACAAAATACCAGCTGTGTCCAGGTGATGACCCACAGGTGAGGGCTAGTACTAGGCTAGCTGGGGGGATATGAAGCTTGCCTCGAGTCTGATGACCTTTAGCATAACGAGACCCTAAACTCATGAGGACCTCATTTTGTTCGTTTCCGAGCCGAAAAGGAATTTGGGCCCATCTCCATGCAGAGAGTCGAGATGATACAGTACCTGGTGGAGCTCAGCAAACAAAGGGTCTCGCTTGAAATGTACGACAGCCACGACCTGAGCTCAGGGAAGACAGCGAACTCCGTCCTTCCCGAACAGTAAGGCGAGACCTGCGATAAGATGAAATGAAAGTAGCCGCTGTCAGGCCCCTTCGACTTGATCGATTTGAGGCAAGACGGATTGGGTCAATCATCCTAAAGGTTTAATTTGCTCTTCTATCAAGTCGATCATCACGGAGTATGTAAGTTTTGATGGGCAAATGCTATAATCTGCTATAATCGGCCAGGTCTTATGGTGAGTCACGTGTATTTTATTTCATTGCTACCAGGGATCAATTGAATCTGCTCCCCTTTGAGCAAACTTCAGTGTGTCGGGAAAGCCTCAAGGTTAGTTGACGACGTAAAATTCAATGGTAATACTAACTCATGATTCAATTATTCTAGTAAGCTAGCCTGGACAGGATGCTATCCGATTTGGCGACCAACAATATCAAGGCAGCATTAAGCTGCAGTATTTCACATCATTTTTACCACCACCCCACTCCAGACGTTGAGCTGGAAAGGTGTGTTAAGAAAGAAATATGGCTATCGATCCTCTGAAGGTTTGTCGAGATTGCAGCTGCTCCTGATTTTATTAATCACATCATTGTGGCCAGGTATCCCGTCAGTTATCATGTCTCGCGAGCAGAATTGGTTGCTACTGGTTGGTAGCCCCGAACCTCAATTCATTTCTTACGCAGACAATCAACCTCCGCAGGTGTCATTTGGCGATGAAGGCCATATCCAGCCTGAATCTGAGATAGTCACATCTCACAATCCCGGGTCTGATCAGACGTCTCGCCTTACTCAGTATTCGCCTGCATCAGGTTCATACGAGGGGGACAACCAGATGTTTGGGACCGTGTTTCCTGTGTATTCAGAATATCTGAAGACTCACAATCTCACCCACGAGTCCAGTCACTCTAACATCAACTCTCAGCATCCGTCTGCCATATACCGTGTTCCTCCTCATTCGACCGGTGGGTCATCGAGCACGTCAAATGTCCAGCACTCTTTCCCATACCTGCCTCTTAGCCATGATGTTCCAACCCAATCAACTTCATCGACTCTTGGGGCTCGTAGCTATGAAAATGAGCTTCAGCAGTACCAACCTGATACCATGATGCCCGTTAACACACGAATGTCCCAGGGTTTCAGGAGCACGAGCCCTGTGCATGTCCAACATTCAACCAAATGGGTGATGTTTCTCGGCACCAAGCCCATCATCCATACCATACTGCCGAGCAAACCAGTGTCTCTATTGACACCTGTCGTTTTATTGGAAGGGGAAATCGACGCTGTGAAGAAGGAGGCTAACATACAGATGAATAGGCTCATCCTCCATCAAATGTTCTTCCCCACCGATGATGCAGCTCTCGGAAGGATGGCCAAACTGGCACTTGACAAGGCTATCACCAAGTGCTCAAATGGTATTCAATTCATATGTATTCTTTCAATAACTCACAAAGACAAAAGCAGCGGACTTCAGTGGGTGGAAGTTGCTATGGGAAGGCCAAAACGAAATCAAGAAGCTCAAGGGCATATTAACTAGAATTTGCAATGAAATCAAGGACCTCATACTTGCCGCAGTAGTAAATGCTTATTCTTTGTCCCTTGCAATTGAGAAGCACGGTCCAGCGCATCTTTCACCAAGGATCGCGAAAATCAATTTGCTACTCGCAACTAATGCGTTCCTCCATGGGCTCATGACGGTGCGTGCACCCATTCTAATGCATGTTCTTCTCTAATTTGATGTTTTATCTCAGCTGCTCGGGAATGATGGCCTGTCCCACCAATACAATATACCATTTGGAAATAGTGTGATCATCAACGCGTTAGAAACTATCTTGTTGGAGAGACAGTACCACCGGTTCATCTACTACAATGATTCCGAAGGGTGGAAAAAATGCCTCATGAACTTGATCACGTTTATCAGCACAGCTTTTAGGTGGGCCCTAAGACAGTATCGGACAGGTAGATTGAGAGCTGCCGATATGACTTCAGATAGCACTACTTTCTATCACGAAATCTTGAAGGAGATGTCCTGACTTGAACCCTAATGGGCAGTTGTATTTCGATGCGATATTGGTCGACCTTTGTGAAGGATTTTGTACTTACTAGTCATTTTCCAAGTTCGTCAGGTACTTAATCATAGTGAGGTACTTCTGGTATGTTTCTTTTGTTTCTGTTTGTCGCATGTATCAATGTACTCTATGTGTCTCAGGCAATTGCTCGATAGACGGGCAAATCATTTTTTACCATGAATATCACCATTTAGGCCCTCAGTCGACCCCCGAATAGCAACCATCATCCTCTTTTGTTACCAAACTTTTCGGTCAAGCAGAGATCCCTTAGTAGTTGGTATTTGTTACTCCCGAGCCTTTATCTTCATACAAGTGACGTACCACTTATGTCGAAGAAGCGGGCTCATGTTTTCCCATGCATCATCCTCAAAAACAACCTCGAAGAGGGTTGCAGAGCCTGAGCCCCAGTCACTTCCTCACCCAAACTCTGTGCAGTAACTCAAAAGGAGCCACTTCTGACGACATAAGGGCACTACCTACACTCTACTTTCTCTTTCTAACTCATGTTTCACAGCGGCACTTATTCCATTTGAAGAGCCAGGAGAAAACAAGACCTGATGATATCCATGGACAGTGTTTTTCGCCATTCATGAAACAGACGATACCGCTATTGATGCATGGGTCACTCACGACGATTACTACTACGTGAACAAGTGCACTGATTCCCTCGATGTTCGTACTTTCGGACTGATTTTAACATGTACTGGAAGGTGCGGGTGGACTCGGAACCAGATTGGATATGTCTGGCTTTGTGGGGACAAGATACGCAGTTGAGTTTTCTCCAGGAGCAGCGAGGACTTACAAGTCAGTGTGCATTTCATGCTCGATGCGCTCGTGTTGACGTTGTCTCAGGCAAAATCACCCTAACGTGATGGTGTACAATCAATGCATGAACGTATGCCTCCAGCACGCTATTGATGTCTACCAGAAGCTCATGCGACAAGGGAGTGAAAAACCTCAATACCATTATATGAAACACTTCAACAATATTATTGTTGAACAGTGCGTTTTTGCTGTCTATCCTGGATTGCTGCCCACTGAAACCCGAACTCAGAACTGTAAACGTGCCTCTGAGAGTGGGAGCTAATCATTTTGGTAAGTCAAACTACATGATTTCTGGCTGTGTGGAATTCACTGTGAAGGCCATAGACTTGCTAAAGGATCTGCACACTTGACTCTTGAGACACGAGAACGCTAGGACAAAATACAAAGGCGAGACGCGATACGTTCATATTCACACATATTGGCTGATCCTTCGACAGCCGTCTATCAGCGGCTGAATGCAGACATGTACTTCTCGACGGCACTGACCACAGTGCTACCAAATAATAAGGGTGGTCAATCCTTCGATATACATTTTCCTGTACCCTCTTCTAGGGTACAGGTTTGCTGGAAAATTTCTCTGTCGACTCGATCTTCAGATTCTTCATGGCTCCACATGGTCCGCTTCCCTGTCCTTTTTTGGTATTATATACTTTGTCAGCATTTTATTGCGGAAGACTTCCCCTCTCCTGTCTTTGTCGTTGTGTTCATCCTCATGGCTTCTACTTCATCTCTAGTTAGTAATGAAACTGTGCTTTGTCCGCCTGTGTCTCTGGTGATCTCTGATCACGAGTCTGCAGATGATGGAACTTCCGTTGTCTCATCATGTGTTTTGCGCAAATATTTCGGGTTTTTACGGGTTTCTCGTGATCGAGTGCCTCGGTGTACTCAATGATATCCTGCTGGTTCGCTATTGCCTGTGGTCGCGCCAAATTTGCGTATGATAGTCGAGAACTTTGCGACATTTACACGAGATCAATACACTGAGATTGCATGCGCTCATTCTATCTATGTGTCTTCAGCAGATCGCAAAGATCATGTTCATGATTTGCTCCACGTGCATGTATGCAATTCAGTGTGTATTTTTAATGCAGTGGTGTTTAAGCTCTTAAAGTATCCCAGAGTTGCTGATTCTATTCTTGTCTTACTTGAGCCTTTTGCAGCTTCATCTCGTTCTCATCGTGCAAGTACCAAACGTGATGCTTGCATTGCAGCCAGCACACCCGAGCGCACGGATGTGAGAGCAGTAGATGCTGCTTGCCATCGAGATACTTACAATGAGAATGCAGATGTTGTCGATGATCCACATTTTCCAGCTGTGTTATCTTTTGACGATAAGTTGGATATTATTGGAGATTGGCAACAAAAGATGAGTCCACAATCTTTGAGACGTGGTTGTTGTGCTATTTGTGTGCATAACATTTGTGCTCATGATCTTTTATGTATAGATGCAAGTAACATACCGCTTCATTTGTTGCGCAATGATTGCTTGCCGGAACATACTCTGCCTCATACATATGATTTTGAGCTGTATCTTCGAGCAATTTTATATCCGAAAGGACTCGTCGATCATTGGTCATTTTCTGGAGTGTATATGTGTCATTCATGTCACTTGGCTCTACTTGGCCAAGCTCCACGTCAGCCTCTTAATTCATTGGCCAATTTTCAGTATTATGGTCATGAAAGACTACCTGTTGACATACAAGAGGCTTTTTCTATGTCCTCTATTTTCGACCTGAATGTTGGTGTCCCATGCCGTGAGCATTGCAAGTGACCCATTTTTATACATACAAGTCTTCAATTTCTGGCCCTCACTTTTGGTCTGTGGAGGAAGGTTCACAGCGTTATAATCAAGGCAATATTGCCATTCGTCCACAGAATTCTACTGAGCTGTATACTCTTTTGCCACCGAGTCCTGATGAGCTGCAAGAAGCTATGTGTGTCATATTCTCGGGACAGAAAATACGACTGTCACACAACACTGTCAGAAAAATGGGACCTGTGTTGGTCACAAAGAGTAGAGTTCAAAAGTTGATTCAGTTCTTAATCGAAAATAATTCATGGTATCAGCATAGTGGTGTAACATATAGTCAGTCCAATATGGACACACTGTTCGATGAGATCAATTTGAAATCAGACACAAGTCTGCTGAGCGCTCTATCAGTTTGTCATTTGCCGATGGAAAGTCAGGTTCCAGTGGACGAGGAGCTCTCGTGATGTTTATGAAGACAATAGAAGTCAGGTAGCTGTAGGTAATATTGTTATGGAGGCTGTCAGGTATACTATGGGAGAGTCAAAGACGAGTATCAAATGGTCACAAAATTGACAATCACATGCAGGTTTGCATAAGTCACATGATAAAATGACGTCAATTCACACAAGCAAACAACTGACCAACAAAATGACGACACAAACAAGCCATCCAAAAACATCATTCAATTGAAACAAACTACTCACTCAAAGCTTTACAACATGTCCACTCAGAGCAACCTATCCACTGAAAACTCAATCATAGGCTGCTTATTCACACCAACAGAGCCCAATGGCTTCACAGACATAACCATCAGATGTGCAGCAGATGGTACATTTACCCTTACAAGACCGCACCTGTTTTTCAGGAATATCGCAGATCTAAAAGAATATAGAATTACAACGGATGATGGAGAAGTCAAAGAGGCTTACAACATCCATATTTCATATGACAGAAAATTGCACGGAACACCGCTATTAGTGCTGCCGCAGTTCGGTCCAGAACCTAGGCTCAAACCCAAACCTTTGCAGACCAGACCCATGGTTCGGTCACAGGTCCAGACTTTCTGTTGGACCGAACCCCTTGGTAAGTTTGGGGTTCGGTGTGTCATTGATAAATCTGGACCGGTTCTGAACACATCCAGACCAGTTCGAACCTCATGACTTTTCGAAGTCGAAGCCTCATGTTTTTGGTGAGGCTTTCTGTTTAAGTATTGTCCTTGCCCTTCTGTTCACCGTCTTCTCCTACTTCTCCTGCATTCTAGTAGGCAAGGCGATCTCTCAGTGACTTCGGTAATGCATCAACTCATTCAGGTGCCAGCTGAGTTCACAACAATTCTACTGTCTGTCCCAATTAACTTATAATGCAATTTATTTCAGAACATACCTACTGTTGTGATTCACCATACTTGCCATCTGCCATGGGTTCTCGTTTTGGTGGTTCATGGTGCGCAACAGTTTTAAAACTAGTTTTAAATATATTCACTTGGTACCTAGGGACATTTATGCCTCCTGCTGCTATGTCCGAGTCCTCTGCACGTTGCACTGACGGTTCATTGAAAGACGCCAGTGAAATTCAGTGGTACAATGATGCTGAAGACGACACCCCAATGGTTCCTCCCCCTGCTCCCACCAACAATGGCACTCTCAACTCATTTGTCCGTCATTCTGGTCGTGCTGTCAAACCCACAGAGAAGATACGTGAGACTCTGGTTGCCAGCAGTACCTCAGCCAAATGGTCAGCTCCAGAACTTCCCCAAGGTGTCCCTGTACCCAAACGAGTGTTTGTTAGCCAAGAGGATGACTACGATGACAATGAAGATGCACCCGCACTCGAAGATGTTACAGATGATGAGGAAGAGGATGCCGAGAGTGCTGAGAAAGAAGAGGCTTACCAACGGACGAAGAAGCTTGGCGACCAGGATCGCAAAGACCACAAATCTCTCAAGAAGGACAAACACAGCGCTGACTTAACGACAGTCCTCACTTTCGAGAAAGGCCGTCTTAATCCCCACACCCAGGAGCTTGAAAACGGGTGGTGGTGTGAGGTGTGCAAGGCCAACAATGTTGTTTTACACCAGTGTTTCTTTAAAGGCGGTATCTCGACTCAACACACGCACATTGTGCGCAATCCCAAGTGCCACTTCCCAGTTTATCAGGACCACTGCAAACAATGTGATCTTGCGATGCATGATCGTGCAATACCTCAAAACTGCAAGACGACTGATATAGTGTATGTTATTTTTCTTGTTGTTTTCTTCTCCTTTCATTGACCTTTACAACCAGTCAGGCAACCTTGGATACATCTCTCCCTCCCAAGATACCAGTATTCACGAAGTCTGGACTTATGGACTACATTGTTGAACTCATTGTTGCCGAGGACGAGGTGAGCGACTTTGATTCTTAATATCATTTTAAGACACTTATACATGCAGGCCTTTCAACTTGTAGACAAGGGTCCATTCTGCCACCTTCTTCAGTATCTCCGGCCATCACTTTCAGACCGAGATATCCCCCACCGCACAAAAGCTTGGGATGAAATACTCAAACGCGCAACTCTGGCGGTTGAGCGTGTGAAAGAGAAGCTCAAGCTTGTTGATAGCAGAATCTCAATGACATTCGACTCATGGACATCTTTGCCTGGTCACCCTTTCCTGTCCCTTTCTGCGCATTATATAGATTCCCCGGCTGACAAGCCTCGAGAATGGGAACTCAAGACCGAGCAGCTTGCATTCACGCCCATTCATGGCAATCACAGTGGTGCAAACATCGGCCAGATTCTAATTGAGAATATTGACAAATATGGGATCCGCACAAAGCTCGGGTGGTTTACGGCTGACAATGCCACTAACAACAATACTGCCATCGAGACTGTCGCTGACTCTATCGACCCATCTGGTGAGAAGTAGAATCCAATTGAGCATCGTGTGCGGTAAGTCTGTCTAGTATTAGATACTTCCATTGAGATTACTGACAAGTATTTCAGTTGCATGGAGCACGCACTCCATTTAGCAGCAAAACACTTCATTGAGGAGGTGGCTCCTACACCAGCAAGTGTATTGCACAAGAAGGCGGCTCAAGCAGAGGCAGAAGAAGATGAAGACGAGGAAAGTGTCGAGTTTGAAGTCAGTGACACCGTCGGCAAAGAAAGTGAATATGCAAAGGAGAAAAAGACAAGGTAAACTCAGCCTTCATTAGCATAGATAGCTGGAAAGAAAAAGATGAGAAATGACGTACATTCTAACACTCGTCCATCGCATGCAGGCCGGTTCCCATTAAGACACTTCAGCCCCCAGCATCAGTAACAACTCACATGGAATTTCACAACACGAATCAGATTACACATCTCATAGCATTAATAATTCTGATTCATCTGGACATTTTCCTACAAGCCTGCAAAATGTACTCGCATTGTTCGTGCTTTACTTCAGCAGCCTACCGCCTCACTTGCTTGATGTTCTCTTCGTTTGCATTCATTTTGTATCACTACTTTCTCGTATTGCTCATTATGTCTCTATTGCTTCAGAACAAATGCTTTCTATTAGTTCATACGTACTCTACAGCGTGCACTGGAAGCTACAGTAGTTCTCATTGTCATGTACTTGCGCTGTTCCCTTGCAATCAATCGTTAACATTGTTTTTGTCTTGTGCGTCCAGATGAAAATGATCGAACAGTCATTATATATGGATATATTGGTTTTACTGTCACTGTGACAGAGGGGTGGGGGGGCTTCCGAAGTTGCGAGAGGTGTATATCCTATATTGCAAATTTGCACACCTCTTGGTGTTACTGTTGCTTGAAATCTAACTACTTAACACTTTGTATGTCAGCAAAAACACATTCTTACGGTCCACGAATGTGCATGTGCACAAGGATTCCCAGATTACTACAAATCCGTCTTGGTGAACACACTTCAGTCTGGGGTACTACTCTGACACCTGATGACCCAATTGCAACATGCCTCGCAAATATTACATCTTTCTCTTCACCTGAATCACCTGTGCCGCCATCTCCTGCGCCCTCTCAAGACTGACTAGATGATTATGACGACTTTCATATGCCCCCACAAATGCAGAACCCATCTATTGCACAGGAAGATGATTTTGGTGACTTTGGGGATTTCGGAGAAGCAGGGGACCTGGAAGGCAGCAGGGGTTTCGGACACGATGCAGATTTTGAGCAGGATGGAGATTCTGGAGATTTCTCAGAAGATGATGTGTTTCATGAAGAGCCAA